TGTTATTTTTAGAGTCATCATCCCAAAATTGTTCAAAATTTACCGCAACTTCCTATACACCATTTAAAAAAAGATTTTGTAGGCCTGTGTAAATTGAACAAACTGAAACCATTCTTTTAAGTAGCTAAACACAAAACAACACATTCTGAATGTTTAATAATGAAATAATATATGAAATTTAATTTCTTCTTCTTATAAACATGTTTTTAGTGGGTAAACATGTTATTTTAAACTGAGATTAGCATCAACCAGCCTAGAGATCAAGAAGTAATACTGAAGAAAAATGTGCCTCCCAGCAAGAACCAAAGCTGTACCCTTTTTCATTAGGGGAAACCCCTTCTTAAGCTGAAGAATACCCTACCAGTTAATTGATTGATTGATTCATTTTCTATGACTTACCAACCCCTTGTAGGTTATTTAAAGCAAGAAAATATTTTTAGATTTTAAGAATTTTTTTTTTTTTTTAAGATAATAATGATTTAATGACACAAATCTTACTAATTAACCTATAGCCAGGGGAGAGGTGAAAGCTGGATTCATACCTTTCCCAAGGGTATTTACACATAAGGGAATATTATAAACCCAACGGGAATTGGAACTTGGCCCTCTGATTAACAATTTTGAGCTATTATCCATTACACCACCTGCACATACATGCTTACACTTCAGAATAACATGCGTGTTATTCTGAAGTGGTCACCTATCTAGGTACTAACCAAACTCAACATTGCTTAACTTTGGTTATTGCATGGAAATATCATCATTTATAGTAATAAGAAATATTGTTGGATTAAAAAAACCTTTAATTGCTTATTTACTTTGTTTATGTTTTTGGTATAAAAATTTAAGTTAGCAGATATCTATCTTGAAGGGTCCCAATGAAAGATATGTATTTCTTATAGTTATTTTTTTAAATTTTTGTTTTTAATCATGTTCTCCCCGAGCAAGGCAGTAGAGCCACTGAGATATAAGGGGTTACTCTATATGAAAGAGTTAGAAACGGGAACATTGCTTTGGAGTGAGAACAGAGGATGAATAATCAGGAGGACAGCAGATAGCAATTGATATTACATTTAAATTTTTGCAGATTATAGTTGGCTGGAAAGCATGGAGCTGTAAGGGAGTTCCACAAATGAAAAGTGCAAGAAAAGAAACTGTTAGTATAGAATTTACAGTTACATCTAGCCAGCTCAACTGTAAATTGGTGAGACCTTATTGTCTGGTACAGTGCTTAAATTCAAAGAGTCTTGGCAGCCATAGCAAAGAGCTAATCTGAACAATTACCATGAAAGTATTCATAGAAAAGGCACAAGGAGGCAACTTTATGGCAGTGAGAAACTGTCTGAAGCTGACCTACCAGATCAGGACCGATAATATTGCTGATTCTTCTTTGGATTTTACCAAGAAGCTCTAGATAGATGTCAGGAGCACAAGACCATATGTGGCAGCTATATTCTAAGCATAGGTGAATGGTAGACTTATAGATATGTAAAATGGATTCTGGAGAGAAGTCTTGCTTTGTCATGATGGCTTCTTGTAGCTTCATTGGTAAGGCACCGTTGGCTTAAGAGTGGTTTTGCTATTTAAATTAACAGGAATGTTAACTCAAGCATATGTACTCAATGAAAATTACATTTCTTGTAATTAAAAATATCAGATTAAAAAATGCATTAATTGCTCTTCAGCTATGTTCTCTTGATAACTCCAACCACATGGTTGTGTCTATGGAGATCTCTTTCCACTCTACTGTCAGTCAAGAACCCCCTATTAAAAAAAACCTCTTTCAGTTATCAACGCACCGATTGGGGCTCATTTTGTGATTTTCTTTGTGATACCTCTTGGATTGATATTTTTAATCATCCTGTTGAAAAATGTGCAACTGGGTTCTCTTTCTGAATGAAAGCTGGAATCAAATTGTTCTTACCAGCATGGAGATACCAAGTGAAACTGTAATCTTTTCTTTGGTTCTTTCCTGACTGTTCAGCTGCTATAGCTCACAGGAATCACTTCTTCGAGTGATGGGTCTGATTGTATCAGATGTTACTTTGTCATTGCTCATAATGAGTGCAAGCATGTTCTCAAAGAACTAAGAAAGTTACTATTTGCTGATAGAATGAAACACCTAGAATAGCCTCTCACAAGTTTTGTTCTAGAAATTACTGGTGGCTTTGCAAGTGTGTACTAAACCTCAGTGCCTCTACTCTTCAGTTTCAAGGATTGATATCTACTGCAGATAAAGCAGTGATTTGCTTGGAAATTATCTTCAACATCACTCTTGACTCATCTCTGCCTGATTTACCCCCTAGAATGGAGTCTCTAATGAGTGATATGCACATAACTTTGTCCATCTGTAGAATGTGAAGGAAAGGAAATACTGTAACTAGAACAATCTAGTAGTATTGTTATATACTCAGTATAAAGTCAATAGGCTGTACCTAATCATATATTAAAAATAAAGCATTTATATTAAATTGCTGGTAAAGTAATTCCTTCATATATTTTAAATACTTTATTTAATCATTTCACTCCAAGCAGGGTGATAAAGCCACTAGGACATAAGTGGTTACAGAGAGTGAAAGAAACAGAAAAGATTGAGATTGTCCAGTATTCACTGCCATATAGGAACACTGATATTACACAATAGTTCAGTACACTTTTCTTTTTTTTTCTTAAAGAAATCAAACTGTAACTCTAGTAATTATGTCTGCACAAACATGTCTATGTACAAAAGCTGAGTATCATGTGCCATGTATTCAATTGTGAAAGCAGAATAACATATATCATATTTTTATTACTTCAATGCCCCCAAGAAAATGAAATTTTGGCATTAAATGACCCTTTGCCATTAAACAAACAACTCAATCATATCATCAACCTCCTATCTTTCCTTTCTTTCATATTATTATATATAGTTTCTTTTTCTCACTATAAGCAAACAACATCTGTGATATATCTTTTTTCTTTTATCTTTCCTTGCAATCGGAATGGTTTGTTTTAATATATAAACAAAAACTCTAGCATTACACTTGAATACTCTGATTAACCTTTTGTTCATGTCTCGGTCAATATATAGTTAATTCTAAGTTTGATATCAAATGTTTCATTCCTTATGTCCAAAAAATACTAACTGGTACAAAACTACATGAGACAAGCATTTCATGCAGACAAAAATCTCTAAATTTAGGGAGGGGTCTAGTGAGGCTGTATTGTTAATATCACTTTACATGAGGCACTAAGTTTCAACTTATTGGCTCTATTCCAATTTTCTGCATTTTTCTTTGATAGACTTCAAAATCATTACACAGTTATGTGGAGGAAGACTTCTCCACTCCACATCTTTTCCCACAGACACAGCATTTGAAGCCTATTGATACTATATCACTATTTCCATAGCAAATATTCAGATGAACTTCATTTTTTTAGTTCCATCAGTTCAGACCTTTACAACTAGGACATGCCATGCTACTTCCATGAAATCAAATCCCCCTCATTTCCTCTATATATTTGCAAATGTAAGAAGTTCCACTCAGCTTTTCCCCACTAGAAGTGCCACTTTCTTTTTAACAGACTTCTACAGGGATGCTTCTCTGAACACTACAATCTTAACCTTTTCAGGTCAAGTGTCAATCATTATCTAGCCTCCTTATCCTCATAATATGCACTTACATCTTCTCTTACATTCATATCACTCACCTCATTCATGATAACCATTGTAACAGTAACCCTCTATCCTGAGTGGCTCTCAAGCTTTCTATTGTGAAAATTTTAGTATTAAAAGAAATATTTTCAACTACTCTCAATTATGTTCTATTTCATTTTTTTATCATTTAACCCCCAAGCAAGGCAATAAAGCCACTAAGTTTCCGAGTGAAAGAATATAAGAAAAAGACATTATAATGGAGAGAAAACAATAAATGAAAAGGAATTAAGAAGATGGAAGATAACAATTGACATTGCATTTGAATTTTTGAAGATCAAAGTTGACTAGAAGGAGATCAGAAGAGCTATACAAGTGAGACATGCAAGAGAAGGAAGTGTCACCATAGAACTTGTGGTTATATCTAGCAATGAGTCCTAGCTGCCAATCAAGTGCTGTGCTTAAATTCATAAAATCAAGGAACCAACAAGGAAAGCTTATCAGAACAATTACTATGAAAATATTTATAGAAAAGACACAGAAGCTACTTTATGGTGATGGGAAAGTGACTGAAGCTGAGATCCCATTACAGATTCCTTGGTTTTTATCAGGAATCTCTAAATACATAGCAGGAACATCAGACCAGATGTGGTAGCAATGTTGCTATATAGTGGTAGTATTCTAGTTTCTCAAGCTGGTTGTTTTATTTCTAAATATTAACTTGCTGTTTACCAACTTTGTTATTAGGGTGAAAATGTATGACTAAACCGCTGACATTCCTTGTCCACACCTTTTTGCTTGTAATTTGTCTTTTAACTTTCTATAAAGAAACACATGGTTTGAACAACCTTTTCATTAAATCTCTAATTGCCTTCTTGTAGTACAGTTTTTAAGACTTACAAAATGTCTTTTCATGGCAGTTCCAGTTATTAAGCATAGATTTATTGTCATTAATCTTTTTACTATTTTTTTATTTTTATTTTATTTTTGCTTTTTATTGTAAATTGAATGACATCTGTTTGTTTTGGTAGCCTAACTGGTGACGTTATGCTTTTATTATACTGGGTAACAAAGAGATAAAAGTTTAAATCTTGTAATGAGCTAATTCTTTATTTTCAATCAATGCAGCTTGCTTAAGAGTAGTAGAATGTTAAAAAAAACAGAATGTTGTTGAAAAAGGCAATGAAAATTAGATGAAAAGGAAATCAAGTTAAAAAATTAATAATATTCAGTCTCTTAATTTTTAAGTTTTACTTGTTTTTAAGATTTATTTAATCAGATTAATTTTGATTCTAACACTTCTTGTAAAGGTTTTACTTTTTTATATATTTCAGTTTCTATTGAATACTTTTAAAAATAAAGTATGGCTGACCCAGTGACAACTCAACCAATACCTCCAGGTATTTTTTAAAAATTTTATATTTAAAAAAAAAAAATTATTAATGAATTTATCATGTGACTTGTGTTCAATATGTTTATAATTTTTTTAATTTACTGTCTGTAAAATTCTTTTTTTCTTTGCTTCACTTAAAAAAAAAAAAAAAAAATTTAATACCCAGAACTACCTCTACTTGATAATTTCTCTTGGACTGGGGTTCTTAATTTTATTACCATGCCCAACATGGCTAGATTTTCACACTCCCTAAAAAGTCACATTTAAAGATGAATTCTAAATTATAATTTTTGAATTGCAACCATCACTGTGGGTGAACAAATTAAACTTACCAAACTTATTTAACTTTGCAATTATAAATTGAGAAAATTAAATTCTTTCATAATTTTGTGGGTTATCCCTACATAGTCACCAGTTTTACTAAGAAGTTATTAGAAGGCATTGTCAAGCAGCTCTAAAAGTGTGACACTTCCTGTCTTTTTATCCACCTTTTTTCTATCCAGCATACTGTAGCAACATGAACAGACAGGGCATTGTTCTCAAGCATGGGGATGCCTTTCCCCTTAGTGACTGAACTTACACACACACACACATATGTATCACCCACATAATTCCTAACTTGTAATGTCTTCTTTCTTTTACATGTATATTTTATTTGTTTATTTTAATCCATTCACCCCAAGCAAACTGATAAGGCCACTGAGATGCAAGGTGTTACGGGGAGTGAAAAAGAATAAAAAGACTTTAGAAGGAATCAGAAACCTAATCCTAAACCATATAAAATAAATCAAAATAAAATATCACCTTTTTGAAATTCATTCTGTTTCCTTACACCTGTCATTTACATGCTTAAATATTGTTGCCACTGCTTTTAGTTTAACCAGAAGCAGTGGCAGCAACAGTTTGGCGACCAGAATGCGACTTCAACATGCACCTCCAGCAATCTGTGGATTCAGGTAATTTGAAAACCTTGTCTTGATTGACCAAAGGGTATTGGTATTATAGGCAACAATGAATTTGTGGTAAACTCTCTGACAAGTCACACTAGTGCCTGTGACAAAGGATGAATTGAAGGAGACAAACTACTCTTTTTGCACTTCATGCAAGTACATCTTGTACCTCTTAGTGATGTGGATACCCTAGTTTACAAACTCATATAATTTTCAGTATGAATGTAAAATATGTATATTATGAGATTATCAATTGCATGGGGGTTGCATGTTCATATATAAACAGTTAAAGAAGCATACCAAAAACTTCGTTTTCTACCATGTATCTCTCGTTTTTTTTTTCTTATATAAATCTATTTTCATTAAACAAAGATTTCAATGTCTCTTGGGTATGTTCGTTTTCTTTTTCTGTGCCAAAAGTTAGGATAAGTAAGTATAAGTATTGTTATAATGGTTGCTCTTAAGTCAGCCTTGTACAGAGTTGGAACAACAAAAGAAAAGTTTGTTACTTCATTGTTGGAGAGTGGACATGGTTATAATGGTCGAGCTCAAGTCAGCCTTGCCCTGAGTTGGAATGACCAAAGGAAAGGTTGATTTTCTTCATAGGTAGAGGGTTTGAAAGACACATGCAAATGTCATTCACTGGAAAATGGAAAAGAGAGTTCAGTGGACAAGGGAAATGAGGCCTTCTCCAGTGGGAACATAATTTTCATGTGGTGCTACATATTAGAGTAAGGAGTAGAAAGAGGCCAAGGAAGGAATATATTTGTTTTTTATAGAATTAAACAACATTGCTTGATGACATTTGATGAAGCAAAGTGGGGTAATGAAATTTCCAGTTCCTTTACTACAAGCATCATTGGAAAATGCATTTTCTTTTCTTTTTCTTTTTCTTTTTTTTCAATAATAGTATAAATATAATGAATTTAGTTTACTTTTCATATTTACCTAATAAGGATGATGATCATTATTTGTGTGTCTTTTAAGGAAATTTGAAGAAGTTTATTCTATTATGTATGGGCATGAGCATTTGTCAACTTTTTTCTTTAAATTAAATATTTAAGTAAGCAGGGTACTGTACCAATAGCATTATCAGAACATAATAATTACTCTTAAAAACATATAGGCATAAGTTAGATACCAAGAGGTATATTTATAGTTCAAGAAGGATTAGTCCAGAGATAACATTTTTTTTAATAATCTAAATTGTTTAAAACATATTTAGAAGTGTAAGTCTTCAGTAAATTTACAATTGCTCCTAACATGTTAATTAAATTTAATATGTTTAAAGGTTTTAATGAGTCTGTTTGTCCTGTCTGTTTTTTTTTTTTTTGCTTGCCATAGCTTTTCAAGTAGGGTTGAAGTGTTACCACTCTACAGTCAGTGTCATAGTAGCATTTTTTGAGATATACCTACTATTCTAGCTGGCTGTTAGCTTTCAAAAAAGCTCCTTCACCCTTTGAAACATTTTGTTTTTATTCTTGCTGAAATAGAAGTGTGTGTGTGTGTGAGAGAGAGAGGAACTGGTTTAGTCACCAGCCATCTGACTGAGGCCAGTTATACTGGGTTGCAGAGCAGGTGGGACCTGATAGAACTAGGGTTGCTTAAACTGTGCAAACTTTAGTATTTGTTGTAATATTGTCTGAATTTATTAGACAAAGCCTTCTTGATTATTTATAACTTCAATCTGATTATGATGAAAATATTAGTAAAAAAAAAAAAATGATAATAATCCAAACCTTGTGATAATTGATGCTATATAGTGAATAATGCTGTCTGGTAAGGTCAGTGAATGCAATTAGCAATCATGAAAACGACACTTTATATATAGATCTTCTATATATATTATTTTTTAATGACGTCTTGAGATGACAGTAACCATTTAAAATCTTGAAGGGAAGAGAATACAAACAGTGTACCCCAAAATAAGGTGTAGGTTGGGCCTAAATCAGATGTTTTCATGATTCTTAATTCTATTTTTTTTTTTTTTTTTTTTTTAATCAAAATATGAATATTATATTTTATTTCTTTTATTTTTAAGTCTACTCTACTTTAAAATCTTCTTTGTTTCATTTCTAGACACACAGGAAAAATGCATATTTTCAAGAAATTAAATTTTCAACATTTTACTGAATTGGGATATTAACAAATGAAATCTTCAATATCATTTCCATCATTTGTGATGCAGAGGTTGATGTGCTTTGCAAGATTCATGTGAGCTCTATGCAATAACTCCACATTATTGTCAATTTTAGCGCATTCATTTTTTGTGTTCAATCAAGTTTGTTGCATCTGTGATTGTCATTGAGTACACCTCCTTTAGCTTACCCCAGAAAAAGAAGTCAATTCTTTCTTCTTGCGATAAAACCGTGTTTAATCTGTGGAGGTAAAAAAAAACAAAAAAAAAAACATGGTTAATGAGATTTCCTATATGTCCAGACTTTTTGGACACTATGTAGAATGGGATCTATGAACTTCTTCCACACTTATAGAAATGTTTTAGAAGCTAATGTTTTTTGTTTTCTTTTTGCTTTTCAAGTATTATATTTATTTTCTAGAATGACTTTTTCTGCAGATAAGACTGATAGGAATATTTTATAAGCTAATGTTTTTTTAATTTTTTTAATTTTTTTATGGGGTATGCAAAATGAAGTCCTTATTTTGAAAATTAATGTCAGTAATGGTTTTAAACAAATAATATGGCTTGATAGCATTGTTATAGATTGAGATAGTTTAGTTTTCTGTTTAATTGTCAGTTTCAGTATAAAGTGTGGGGACTGAAGCCCAGCACCCCCTATAGTACCATGGATGCAATGCTGGTCATATGAACAGCCTTCTACTACTTCATTGTTTACTAAATTCAAAGATGATCAAATTATTTCATAACAAAAGGTGGTAAAAACTCAGGTGCTAATGATTTTTTGCAGACTCAATCCCCCCCACACACACACTATCACAATGTTTAAAATGGATTAATGATTTTGCATGACCAATTAACATTTAAATAAGAATTCAACATCTCTAAGCATTCATTGTTACTAATCCTGATTAGTTTTCATTAATTCAGTTTTTGAATCAATATGGACTGGTATTAAGTGTACACCCCCCACTCACTCACAGTAATCTCTCTTAAATCATTACTCTTCTTAATCTTAAGCAATTTAAGAAGCTACAAACTAGTTATAATACTGTTAAAATATTTAAAGTGTTATTGTAATATTTATACTAGTTTTTGGTTACTTTGGTTGCCAGAATGAAAGTTCAGTGTTACTAAATTTGTAATTTTTGTCAACTTTTTGTCTTACTTTTTAAAATAATCTGGGCTACTTTAGGTTACTTATTAGAAGTCAGTTCAGAATTTAGTAGTATTTATCTTTCAATTGTAGTCCAATTTGCTACTTGTAGACCAGTATGACAACCTCATTGGTATCCTGTAAATTGTTCTAGTAACCATGTACAAGTTTAGTTAGCTTATTTTATACAGAATAGGAGTTTGTGATGTGGAAAGGGCACAACATATACACCCTTTTTGCATGTTTGTTTTTTCCATTTTTGAAATATACAAATGTATCTCTATAAGAATGACATTCTAATAAAAGACCGTGCCAATTTAAAAAGCATCATTAATTTTTTTTTTTCTAAATTCATAAAAATGCACTTGTCAATGCTCTGTCGCTGGAACATAGTTGTTTCTGTACTAAAGATCGAAGATGAAATTTGGTAGTGGTAGTCAAAAGAGGATTAAAGCAGTTAAAAAAAAATCCCTAATAATGCTTTCACTGTAGCATTGTTAGAATATTGTTGCTTAGCTGTGCAGGCCCAATTTGGGGATAAATAAGAAATTGCCATTAATAAAAAATATCTTACTTATTATAAAACGCAGATTGTGTGTGTGTGTGTGTCTGTAACGTTTATATATTGGATCGGATTTCCTACATTTTTTAGCTGATTTCAACAAAACTTCACAGGACTACATAAAATTACCTTGTGGTGGTTCTAACGGTGCCGAAAATGGGAAAAACACAATTGTTTTTTTTAACAAAATCAATTTGAAAAC